ACGTACACCTTCGTTCAGAAGTATAGTTTGCTTCGCATTTATGAAACGGCTGTTTCTTTCCATTTTTCAATGAATATCTGTCTTGCTCTGTCTCATCAAATTATTATTAGGCTATGGATTTTCATGCATTTATTAATACTAGATTGCCGGAGCAAGTCAATTTTTAATTAATTATTAACATACTATAAGTTCGAATTTATTCATTCACACTGGGTCTTTATGTGTCTTGAAACCTATGAATGGGGATATACACCGGTACAGGCCGATGCGAAGTCGTTTCTTCTCCGGTAATTCTGTGCCGTTCACGATTTCGGTTCTTTTGTACTTATGTAAGCGCGTGGGAGGATGCGTGGGCGTGTCGAGGAAAAAATGTGAGCGCGTGCAGGTGCACGGCCGCAGTTTAAGCCACGTTTACATCGGCCAACCACAGTTCCCATTCAATGCACGGAGAATTCTCTTCGAAATCTACTCTTTATTTAGAGTTACGAATCAAATGCTTTTTTTTTCTACAAAATAAATTAATTTCTATCTCAATATATACCTCTTTTTTTTCGAGTTAAGAATCTAATGTGTTTCCTTGGAAAATAAAAATGAGATTAAGAATTTCCTGTTGTTTTCCTTCAATAAAATAAATTGACGTCGCGTATTAAAAACCGATGAAAGGTCGAAGGAACGAACCACTCGGTTAATTATAATAGAAGCTGAAATTGCTATAGACAGGAAGGAAGGAAGTTACATGCGATGGCGGTGAAACTTTTTGGTTATCTCGACTCTTTTCTCACGCCTCGTTTTGCCCGGGTGCACACCGACTTTTTCCGAGCCCGAAGATTGGTCTTGTCACGAAACTTTTAATGAAAGTTCGCCCAGGCCACCGGAACGTCAAATCTTCCCGGCTAATTCACGGTCTAGTTTCGACCTGCTCGTATCATGTAAGAGAACAGAGAGGAGCTTGCCGGGCTAACTATTATTCCCTCCACACGGTTACCAGACACGGTAATACCGCCACTTTTTAATACTCTCGGCAGATTTTGAAAAATCTCTCAGATACTTTTTCTATTTATTAAAATAAAAAACGCCAATACTAAGTGACGCAGCAGCTTGGTCATTGGTTTAGATTTAAACAAATTCCTTTAAATGTTCCTTGGATATTTTGAAAAAGCTGTTTTAACGATGGTTTGTTACTTACTAAATACGAGATAAAAGAATTGAATAACACGGCAGCTGCGCCACAGGTCTCGAATGTGTTAATAGTAGTTCCAGACAAATTTCTTGCTCGAATTTTTCTTGGACAAGGCAATTAACGGGAGAAAAGCGATGAACAATTACAGTGGAGTCTCCCAAGTTAATTGAAGGATAACAAAGGTGGAAACGGTGCTCTCTGTCTAGGAAAAGGAACTGTTGTTCCGCGCGGAGGGGAATTTACACGCGCGTGGTCGGTCGCAAACGTCGAGATAGCTGGACAAAGCTCGCGCAGAAAAAATTGCAACGGTACCGTACACCCCCGTTCATAAGTCTTGGGATATGCATTTTCGTTTGAGTAAAACTGCACTACAGCCCACTGTCTGATTCTAAATATTTATAAAAATCATGATCTCTCTACTCGTATCATTTACTCTATCAGTATCATGCACTTTCTAGTACAACTCTATCTAAAGTATCAATATCGTTTAATAAAAAACGAAACTCAGTATTGCTAACAGTAGATTCCAATCAAACATCAATACCCTTCATTTTATTGGTCATATTAAAAATATCTCTATATCAATTTGACTCAAACGTCAAAATTGAAGTTTTTTAAAACAATAAAATTTTATTTTAAAGAAACTTAATTCAAAACAATTTCTGGAATATCTGTTTAAAACGATCAACTTTAAAAATATTTAATAAGTCAATTTGACTCACATCCAGGGTATCACAAAATAGGTATAGCATATATGGATTTTTGGAACTAAGAAGTGAGGAGGGGAAGGAATTACTATTTGTATATATTTCATAATTCTATTAAAAATCAACATATATTTAAAAAAAAATGATTTCAGTCTCTTTATATATACAACAATAAAATCATTAATTAGTCAAATTGACTCGTTCCGACAATCTAGTGTTAATTCAAAATCCTGACATAACTTTGAAGTTCATTGTTTTGTTCAATGTTACATTAACAATATTTTAGACTTAGTATTTACTCTCTAATAAACCTCTATCAAAGCAACTGTCGATATCTATATAAATCTATCTTATAAAAAAAGCTCGTGTTGCTTAGAATTATTTCTAATTCTAACGTAAAATCTATACTTTTCATTTCGTTATTGTTTATTTGTTTGATATTTGTGGAAGGCAACGAGTACTCGAAAGTTTCGTAAGAATTATGAAGAGGAGTGTACATCGTCAACCGGACAACGTAATTTCCCCGTGTTTTCGTTGCACCAAACAGGCCACTTTTCTTTCGTTCGCAAATGTTTGACGAACCGTACGGTTCGCAGGACGTCAGGGAAAGAGGCATCGCGGAAAGGTCACAGCGGTGCGCGTTTGTACAGCTTAACCCCTTCCTCTGTTCGTTCTTCGCTCGAATATGAGAATAGTTTGAGGACAAAAAGCAAATGTTCTTCGACTGATTAATTGATTCCAGTTTTTTATGCGAAATAAAACACTTGTATTGTCTTGGAAAATGAAATCTGAATACAAACTTATTTCAGAAATAATATACATATATCTGATGCAAAATGAAGGAATAATTAGATTTCAGAAATCTTATAAAAACACAATCTTACAAAAGACACAAATTTTTATTCATACAAATTTTTGTATTCTACTGATTCTCATTAGTTCGAAAAATCGTTTTGGCGCAAGATCGCGCATTGGTATGTGCGTAACACGGCGTTAATCAATTAACGTGTATCAATAGTAGAGCAGGAGCAGGAGGCCGAACGAGTGAAAGCAGAGCTCGCTAATAAGCTGCTCCGGTCACGTTGACACTCGATGTAATTTACAGCGTAAGGCTTAGCTATCGATCGAGCTAATTGAAACTGTAAACGCGATCCGAGGAAAGAAGGTATACGATCCTCCCTTTTCTATCCAGTCGACACTCTTCCCATTGTCTACTTTCAACGATATTTTATCTAAATTGTTTTTTATCAATTCGACACAATATATCAGATTGGTGAACGTGAAATATCATCTTCTACAAATACGGTAAATATAATAATTATCCTGCACTTAATTTAAGTAATTTAGTAATTTACTTTATGTATTTTTACATGATTTTCCAATTTGTTAAAAATTGTGACTCTCAATATTCTTGTGTGGTTCAAAATTTTATTAAATCCAGTATTTTTTTTATTAATCAAATGCAATATATCTATCAGATTGGTGGATGTGATATATATTCAAATATAGTTTCCGTAAAATGAAGTAATTTCATTCAATACTTCATGATTATAGAAAAATGTCAAAATTGTATAAATATCGAAGATAATAAATATACTATAAAACATATCTCAGAGCAATTGTAGTTTTTCTATAAGATCAAGTGTCACTATTGAATTAATTATAGAAAAAAAGAATTATATAACAGAATTGTACATAAATATCTGAGAACATACAATTAAAAACGAAACATATTTATTCTGTTTCATTATAGTGGACCATCTTATAAAACAGAGTACCTACATTCTATTTGAAACATTTTTTCGATCAACAAGGAGAATAATAGAAATAATAATCTTTTATAATACTCCTGTTTATAATAATTCCTAATATCAGTTCAATAAGGAACAGTTAACATAACGAAAAAAATGAAGTTAAATTACGTAACGCGCTCGCTTATTATTTCTAGAAAAAATTCAATAAATTCGGTGTATCAGCGGTGGAAATGTCGGAGTGGATTGAAGCGGTAAATCCGAATTTCCACGGTACTGGTAACTGACAACGTGCTCGCAACTAGGCCGTCGCAGGGTATCTGCGTGGCGAGGATTCCACGCACGTCCGCGTCGAGCAAGAAACAGCTCGTCTCGTCCGTGGCTCGTCACGCGAGCGTTAATCAATTCCGGAATGTCGAATACCCAGTAAATTCAATGTTTTCCGCGAACACGCCGGGCTTAGTCACCTTCCATCGGCAGCCGCGGCTGGAATCGCAAATGAAGAAGGCGAACGAACCGCCGCCGTGGACATTCGCCGAGATTCTCCAATCGATCCTCAGTCCAATTCACGAAAACCAATTATTTAGAAAAACTAAGCAATCTATTTTTAATATGTACACACATGTGTTTTTATTTCCAATTCTAATATAATCTATAGTCCATTCATCGAGATGTGGCACCAGGAAAAGTCAAAGACCAACGCATATTTCCTTATACCAACTACATGAAACTGAAATTATTTAAATGAAACAAAATTTTTAATACACCACGTTCTTAAAAAGTATAAAATAATTATCAAATACTTGTAAGATTTAAAACGAAAAACGATTGATTTTCATTTCTGCTAAATAGAACTGGAAATAACTGAATATATAACTAAATAAAACTGAGTAAGCGTGGACATAGAAATAGAATCAGAAATTCGAAAAACCGTATATGCAACTATGCAGGAGGAACGGAATCGTGGGTCGTAACGGAATCGAGAAATCGCGAGTCGGGCCACAAGTCGTAGGCCATGCATCTCCGGGATTATAATCGCAAATCGGCGAAAGACCGGGCCTCGCATAAAATGTAGATTAGAATACGCGTCCGCATTAACATACATCGCTTTGACAGACGTCGGACGTATGTACGTATAGGCGCACATGTTGATTTTTAGGATACACCGTGAAACAGATGGCACGGTGAACGTTCCTATGCGAAACGTGAACCGTGGATATTCGCATTGTATGCTGATGACGCGAGTCACGAGAAAAAATAGGCAGATTTTCCTGCGTAGCTAAACTGACTTATACGACCGCTCGAGATGTTTCTAAGTACGAAAAATAATAGAAAGTTTCAGAGAGAAAGATTGTTTACCTGAATGCGGAACGATTATTTTTACGTTCGGATCGGATTTCATAAGTAGACATTGCTGGCTTCATTCATTTCAATGCTTGGACAGGCTCACCTGTAACAAAAGGAAACGAGGTCAGTTTTACTACTTATAGTCTCTGACTTACATGCATTTTATTATGTGTTGTGACTCGTATTGATCCGTCGATACCGAAAGAGGCGATGGTCATCGAAACGTGTAGATTTTTGGTCAACACATGTAAAAATTACGATTTTAACAACTTTACTTAATTATACCTAACAATGATAATCAATTTGAAGAACCAATTGATATCTCGTCAATAAACTGTGAATTTTTATGTATTTACTAGAATTGTTACTATCTGGTAATATGTGTAATAAATATAAAATGTTCAAAGTTAAATACAATTCATAATATTCAAAGGTGGAAACAAATGTTTATGTGCAATTAGTTTCTCCAATTTTATTTATAAAAATAGAAATTTGCATAAATATCCGCAGTCTACTTATCCGATTTAAGAGACATTGTAAAACAAAGAAAAAGTAATTTTACTCCATTGCCACCCTAAGGGGTGGAATTGCGTACAACCGCCCCTTAGCCAGTACTTGCAACGTGGTAAGAAACTATTCTCAAAATTGCACGTAAACGAGTACTGAACAGCACGAAAGCCAACGATGAAATAAATATTCTCAGCCTCAGCTAAGAAAAATGACTCCGTTTAGAAATTCCTTGCATTACAAAGTTACCTCACACACTCGTACTTCATACCCTAACTGGAGACAGTCCGGGTGGGATCGATATCGACTACTAGTAGGCGGTCCGACACAAGGCGATGCACGCCAGATTAATGACCTCGTCGCGATTACGGACAAGACGCACTAACTCACGACCGTATTAAAGTCGGGGGAGGGGCCGTGTTCCCCTCTTGCGAAATCGAGATTGAGGTTCGCGCGGCCGGAATTGATTCTCTGCGAAAAGAGAGAGCACGGAGGAAGGAACGGTCCGATAAATCTACGATCGAGCCCGGCGATAAGGCTGCGAATGTACGCAGCCAGAAACCGAGAGACGGGTGTTTATCATATCTTGACAATTCCCCCTGTCGACTCGCGAGAAAATTGAACCGACGTCTCCCTATGCGGCTCGCAATTAAACCGAGAGAAAGGGTCCCGGAATAAAACGAGAGATGTAGAGATTGATAGCGAGGTTTCAACGGGAGATCGAATGGATCCAAGAAATTCGAGAGACAGTAACGTCGTATGTTAGAATTAATACGATTACTATCGTCTATTCTTGCGGGGAAAAGATAATGGATGATGCAGTACTTGTAATCAACTTTCATCAATAATACTTCCTTCTCTTTAATTGTTATTGTGTAATGGATGTTGATATATAGGGTGTCTAAGAATGTACCACTTACCTGTCTGGAAGTCTGTCGTTAGTAATTTCATTAAGTGAAAAACAATTGAAAGGAAGAGTGGAAGAGGAATTTTTTAATCTAAATTTCATCGTCCTTCACACCCTGAACAGAAAAGCCTGTATATAATAAACTACTTTAAATATTAAATAATAATTGCATTTTTCAGTTGTCAAAATATGTTATTGCACTCTTGTTAAAATCTAAAATAACGAGCCTCGAAAGGAAAGTTAAGTTTCCATCGATTCGTGAGCACTATACGCAGGATTGTTCCTTGGTGACTCAACTGGAACGGAGAAGAAAAGAAGAAGCCAGAGTAGAATCTTGAACGGTCCCTGTGGTACTCGGAGATCGGATCAGCGATTTGAATGGGGAATGAGACGACCAGTCTCCTCGGGAGAGAGAATATCACCGGTACGGACGATCGAATCGTAATTTTGGTAATTATCTCGGCGACGATAAGACTCAATGACCGTTACTTCAACAAGATTATCTGATATTCGTGCGAGACGCTATTCTTATTGAATTTGTTCGCTGCATTGTGTTTCGCCTTGGCGAGGGCTTGAGCTGGACATGATTTAAGTCTCCGTATTGGATGTAATCGCAGTGTCTCTTTGTTTTAAAGAGTTCAGCTTGGAACTAGTATCTCGAGGCATTTATTATTGTCTTCGAGTAATGATCATTAATCATATTTTAGTTATTTGATGTTCTCTAGGTTTGGGATGTATTTCTGAACGTACTATAAATTGAAAATTTTAATTACTTTAGGCAAAATCCAAGCCTAAGTTCAAATATAATATGTATTTAATTATCAAAATTTAAAATTTATTTTCCATTGGAAAAGCAAGTTGCATTTTTTATTCACTAAAACTGAACCGATATAATAAACAATATAATATAACGAACAAGACGGTATTTTAAACAAACATATTCTCTGCTAAAGTAGATATCCCTTAGTGCAGCACAAATTGGATTATTTTAGGCAAAATCCAAGCTTGAAATTGAAGGTATTAAAGCTTAGTCGAGCAAAAAGGCTTAATACCATCGAATAAATGGTGCCTCGGGCCGAAATGAGATCCCAGCAATAATTGGATAAAAGTTGGAGGCATTACCAAAATTTCGTTTCACGATAACGCGATATCTTCTCACGTGCCATTTTTTCATTTTCTCTTCGTTTTTCGTTTTTTCCCAACAGGGTATTCGTGTTCTAAGTATTGAAAAATGCATTACTTTCGTATTCACTTACTCCAGTAAGTATATAATGTAATTCAAGTTTTGAGATAGGTTTATTATAAAATTTTGTGCGTAATGTAATATAAAAACCGAATTCCTTTCTGTGTGTGTGTGTGTGGGGGGGGGGGGGNCTTTTTTTATTTAATTATAATTCTATTTAATACTATTTAATTTTATCTTAATACTCATTCTATTATTCGTTTCATGATACGTCCCGAGATCTAAGAATGAATTTATACATATGTACTGTTTCGCGATCAGGGCTCTCTCGCTCGTTTCCAGTCTAGGCAATCTTCAACTTGCGGAAAACTTATATCGTTCGCGCTGGAGTCGAGAAAATTTACTCTCCGAACAATGTTCAAACTCTATTCTATCCCAGAGCAAATGACGCTGTTCCGAGCCAATGATATGTATCTAAACATTTTTCCGGACTATTTTTCCAGTTAACTCGAGTTCTAAAAAGTTACATCGCCTAGCTCCGAGAAGCGTCATAAAACTGTACCTTTTTTCTCTACTAGTTCCGAAGTAAACTGAGGACGTTTATGCAAATTCTTATTTTTATAAATAAAATGAAATAAAAACTATTATAAATTCTAGTTTACTTTGGATATTTTCTATTCCTTTACATATTCCTGCACACTGTGTTTTTTTTAACCCTTTCGCTACGGACACCGACTATAGTCAGCGGCCGCGCGACGTGCTGTGTGTACGGGTGCCGACTATAATCGGCGTTCGAATATCTTTCGAATCTAATAGCTCGTACTGAACTAGATCCTGCATATTTTACATACGAAATAAGAATCTTCAATTTTTTTCTATTGGATGGTAAATAAACAATACAATACAATACAACAATACAATACAAGTATTTGTAAGGCACAAAACTATAATAGAAAACAAGGATTATAATATAAAGTATCTAAAAAAAAATAATAATAAAAAAACAAATATAAAGTGATCCCGCGGAACGGACTGCTGTAGCGAAAGGGTTAAATTATTAAAAATTTCTATAAATACATAAGCACCCACAATCTAGTTAGAAGATACTAACAGAACGATGATCAAAGTTCGTTTCAAAAGTTGACGACGAAGGAATAACATTTAACTTTAATCCCATACTCCATTATAATTTAGAGACTACTTTTAGTCTGTCGGAATTAAAAAAATATTAAAATCAATTTTTGTACGTTCATAAAAAAGTTTTGTATATTCGTAGAAAAGATTTTGAAGAATTGTTAAACGATGAAATATTTTAATTTAAATCACATTTTTCAAATCGCCATGTCTTCGTTATGTGCGATCTACTGATGTTACTAATAATGTAATCTATTAATAAACGTTAAGAACGAGCGAAAACGTTTAGAAACTTAAAATCATATTGAAATCGAGAAGTGACACAGTTTTTTGTAAGTATAAACCGAAGAGCGGTATAAGTTTTTTATCAGCAATGTATAGTATTATACGAGAGTATAATAACCGTAAATGGCTCGTTACACTTTACGCTCGGCTAGCCTCACGATCGGATAGGGTCAAAAGAGAATTTCATTTGCCGTTCGTTTCCGGATAATCGAGCAAAAGTGTGCGTGCGGTCAGACCCGAAATCCTACTTATTTACACGGTCTATCGGATTTTCAAAGAACATCGAATTATTTTTTCAACCTTAACAGTGAAATTGGAAAAGTAAAAATCAGCTTGAAAATTTTCTACTTCACAAGAGAGTTCATACGAGTTGTAATGCAATTTAAAAAGCTCTTTGTAGCGCAGAAAAATTAATAGTAAAATTAATTCCACTAGAATTACAAATCGAAATGTGGTAGAGTTAAAAATCCAGGTTGAATTGCATGCAGATAATAGAAACGCAACAAGCTTTATTTACTATTTGAGTGAATACTTATTTGAGACAATGAAACAAAAATTTCAGAATAAATTTATTTAGTTAATTGTTATTTATATCTTCTATTGCAGTGCAGCTTTTGATGTTTTATATCACTAATCCTTTGAAGAAGCAATCTTGTAATGTCTAGATTGCAAAATTTTGTGCAATGCAAAATTTTTGTTCGAACTTAAACGTTCATGGTATCAATTTTAAAAAAAGAATGTGATGTAGACAGAAACCTCTGCATGCATGCAGCTTCTGAAATTTTATATCACTGATCCTATTAAAAAGTCTCAAAGGATTGAAAAATAATTTCTGCAAACACAAGACCACATTAATTTAATACCTTTCAGCAAATAGACAATTAATATCTGCACATCTCCTAATGAAATAATAGAATACTCAATTACTGTTACTGGCTCACTCCGTAAGTTTAATTGTCTGCCAAAGAACAAATAGCAAACAAGAATAAATTCGTTATTTTGGTTTTGGAACGAATACGGGATTCGTTTGGAAAAACAACGGAGTCTGTGCAAATTCCGTTGGCGTCGCGCAGCGAGCGACATAATT